TAATCAATGATTAAAAAAATGAAATTTCAATTAGTCCGATTTAGTATGGTCCACTCATTATTTAAAACAAAATTTTTTCTGATAAAGTAAGCTCTAAAGTTTTTCGTAAATCAAGTTTTGAATTTTCGATTGTCTATTCTAATAAAAAGAATGATTATATAATTGTTTATAATAGATCTCATAAATCAGTTGTATTTGATTTAAAAAGTCTTTCACAACTGAGATATTATCATTTTTCTGTTAAGAAAATCATATTTTGTTATCGTTTTATTTGATTTACTATAAAACAAAATAGTCAGAAGAAACAAATGTTCGGCTCTTGCTTGATTTCTGTTGTACTTTACATTCTTAGTATGCAATAGGAACATTAACTTAATTAACAATTCATATTCATCAAATCTTTTTTTTGACGAAATAAAAGTTATTAGTTAAATTATTCACATTTCAACTTATTAAGATAATTAATAAGACTCTTTTTTTGAATTTTTCTCAATCTCATAAAAATCTTGTTATATCTTTAAATGGCATCTCACAAATAGAAATGTTCCTTCTTACGAAAGAAGTCCTTCAACTGATAAATCACTTTTGAATCGAGACTATGTGCATTGTGTACATGCAAATAAGCTATGAATACCTTGAAAAGAGTTCGTGTCGTTAGTTTATTGCTGCAGAATTACTGTACTTTTAAGGTATTTTTTCAGTGAGGGCTGTGGTAACAGAAAAAATTGATTTTCGAATTTCGACTTGAAACTTTGCATAGAGACAGACCTTTACAAGGATAGTTTTCGGTGAATGTTTTAAATCTTATTGCTGCTCTTATTCTTAGATATAACTATGGCCATAGTGCGTGTTTTACATCGTTCATATAAACCGATAGATTTGATGTTCTTATTTCAGGTTAGAAGCAAATCAAAAAACTCGAAACTACACTCGTCAAGGCTTGTCTCTTTCAAAAAGTTTTAAGTTGAAATTCGAAAATCAGTTTTTCTATTACCGGTAAAAGTACAGTATCTTTGTAGAAATAAGCTAAGAACACGAACTTTTTTAATAATATTCATAGTTCATTTGCATCTACATAATGCACATGGTCTTGACTCAAAAGTGATTTATCAGTTGGAACACTTGTCTCGTTAGAGACATTTCATTAGAAATACAACATACCGGTATCCCTTGCAATGTTTGTAAACTATTTGATTCAGGTCTAAAAACATAAATGAACAAAAATGAAATACAAAAATAAACAAACAAACTAATAAATCATACATAATTTCTTGATAAGTTACTGAATGTGGATCAATCGGTCGAGATCCAAGAAGATCTTTATAATTTTGATACCAAAATTGACGATCAAATGGATAAAGTAAATCTTCTTGAGATAAACCTCGTTGAATTGAATCTTTTAAAAAAAATTACTTTAATAAAAAAAACTTATTTATTCAACTAACCTTCATGATTATTTATTATTTGTCTTTACAATAACAAAAACGAAAAATAAAATGATCAAATATTTCTATTAATAAATAAATATAATTTAAACTTACTCAGATGTAAATTCTTCATTCCCTTGAACTAGAAAGTCTAATTCTTCAAATATTTTCTTAACAAAAAAAAAACAGAATTTACCTTTATCCAGCTCATCTTCATATGTATAATCATATTCTTCAAAAGTTTTTGATGATATTTGTATTGATGCTTTTTTATGTCCTTTTATATTTTGTCCTGATTGAGATTTAAATATAACAGCAAGTACAATTGGTTTTTGTCCAATAAATGAATCAAGTTGAATATGCAATTGAATTTGTCCTGGACCACCATGTCTTGATTGAATTTGTTTAGCATAATTTTCAATTAAACGTTGTTGTTCAGAACGAATATTCGATGCTGATGATACACGTTCATACATATCTGGATGATGAGTTTTCTAATTAAGTAAAAAAAAAACAAAAAAGAAAACATATTGTTTCAAAACGAAAGTCTTCTTTTTTTTTTACTAAAAATTTTCGTTGATGTTGAATATTTAATATATGAGAAAGAATAGATTGTGATGAACATTTTGAATGACATAATTCACATATATATTGAGCTGAATCAGTTAAATTTTCAAATTGAAATTCGATAATATAATTTAAACCTATTTGAAAACAAAATTAATTTTTTTTTGATTAATTAAAAAAAAGAAAAATAATTAATCAAATACCTAATAAAGGTTTTTTTGTTTGATTGATTTCTTCATCGCAACGTAATTGACGATTAAATACTTTTTTATTAAGCATCTCTGGTGAAAACATTGCTTTATATGCAGGACGATATTCTGGTGCGACTGTTGATTTTTTTTTATTTAAAGAAATTTTCAAATGAAGTAAAAATAAAACAAGAAAAAAGAACTATTTACCTGATTGTAATACATCATGAATACTTTGCGCCTGTAAAAAAATAAAAAACAAATTTCAACACAATTCTCAAAGATTAATGAAGTTGTAGAATCTAATTAGATATATGTCAATATCATATCAATGGAAATGATAAAAACTTATTAATCAAGTTTCACTAACTATTAAATTATGATAATAGTTAACTCTAATAATTTGTGGATTATGAATAGTTTTTTCCTATAATTTTTCGAAAATGTTTTATTGCAAAAAAAAAACATCTTTCGAAATAAGGAAAATTATTCAGAATAAAATTTATTTCTCTAAGTTAGGTAGTAATCAAAGTATAATGAAATCTACAGTGACTCTTAAAATTATTCGGACAAGTTTATTTTTAATGTTTTACCGCTGTCATAAACGCTAAGAACAATCCAAATAGTGATTTGAGTAGAGAATTTTTATTTCCAACGACAATTTTTGAAGATAAAATGATTACTAATTTCTCAAGAATAGGATTTCTGAAAGACTAAAACTCGAGTCATTCACCTTCTAGAGTTTGGAATCGCAATTCTCTACAAAATGAAACATTTTCCAGTTCTCTACGACATTTTTCGTCTAACGAGGGAAACATCCGATTGATAATCTCTGTTTAACTTCATATATATAAGATTCAAAGTGTAGATAAAATCCCTGAAAGGGTTCGTACCATTAGGCCTCTTCTTCTCAAGTTATGGTCATTTTATTGAACTTTCAGCGTATTACAGGATATTATAAGAAAAATTGAAACAAGAAGTTTCGATCCGAAATTCTTCCAAACAGTAACTCTCATAGCTCTTATGATATCTTGAAAGTTTTAGCTCAAACGAGTGTTATCCTTCTGAGATAACGCGTCTGCAAAAAAACACTACTTTCACAGAAGAGCTCCAAAAATAGATTAGTTTTAGGCATACAATCTCTCAAGAAGAAATCATCTGTTTGAGTTGAAACTTTCAGAATACCATAAGGGCCATGAAAGTTATCGTTGAGGAGAATCTGAGGCTAAAACTCCTTGTTGCATTTTTTCTCGTAATATTTTGCAATAGGTTGAAAGTTCAGTAAAATGACCATAACTAAAACAGAGTAGCCTAATGGTAAGAACCATTTCAGGATTTTTATCTAAACTATTTTACAGAGGGCACAAAAAATGATGTTTCTATACGACATAACAGAAAAAACAACTTTTGTTCCCTCTCGTAGTGCTGGTATATCTTGATCAAGAAATATCATAGACAGTTGGAAGATGTTTCATTTTGTAGAGAATGATTTGTTCTATCATTTGGCGTAATTTGAACAGAATTATTATTGTAGATTCTAGGAGCTGAAAAACTTGATTTGAGGTTTTTGAGAGACTCTATCCTTGGAAAATTGTCAACTATTTTTATCCTCAGAAATTCTTCTTAAAAATAAAAATTCTCTACTCAAATCATAATTTAGATTCGTCTTACCGTTTACGACAGCGGAAAAAATATTGCTTTATGAAATAATATCACAGCTTTGATGAAACTCTATTGGAATTTATCTTTTAGAATGTAAATAACATCTTCTGAATACTTTCTAAAGATCATTCAAGTGTAAAAGAATAATCATTAATACTTCAACATCTAAAACAATACGTTCTAGAAGCTGCTGACAGCTTTCCGTTACATGTTAACCAGTGCTGATATCTCAATGTCGTATTAAATAATCGAAAACTGTTAATTAACCGAACGATCGGTCAATTGTTTACCCCACTAAGCGATGAGTTTCCATCGGTCGATATGACATGAACATACTTCCAAGATGGTTTAAATTTTTAATTAAAAAACTTTTTCATGTTTTTTCTTATCAATCGCATGAAGTTGTTCGTTAAATATCATATTATTCGATATAGAAAAGGAATTTTCGACATTGTCAGCTCTCTTATGTATTTCAATACAGTCACCAAGTTGTTTGAAAGTCTTTTAAAAATCATACTTGTTGATGTTGTCGACTGTTCAAATGTGAATTAAAATGTTTTTGATTAGATAAATCAATATTACAAACAGCACATGAAAAACGTCGAATTGATTTAGTTGTTGTCTGATTATTATTATGATTATTATTTATTGGATGAATTCCATTTGTTGGATGAGGTAATGGTAGAAACGAACTAGCGGTTATCGATGATGTTGAAGATGATACTTCAACAGGATCAGATTGATTTGAATTTGTATTCTATATGATTAATATATAATTTGAAATATGAAAAATAAAATAATTTCTTTTACCATAGATTATATAATGGAATCATCATCTGTTCATCTCAATCTCTAGAAAAGAATTGATTTTATTTGATAAAATATATTTGATTGGTTAAAGAAATTTTCCCAATTAAATATCATCGATATTACGTAAAAATGATTCTATTTTATATATATTTTTCTTTAATTTTCAAAGAAAATTTTATTTTTATTAATAAAAGACTTTTTTTCTAAAAAACAATCTTCAAGATAGTAGTGACATCTATTGTTATACTTACCGATACATTATTATTACTCCTTTTCTCTTTACCGGATTAAGTTGTATAAACGATTATTTTTCGTATCATATGACCTTTTGGAGTGTTCTTTTTCAATGTTAACTAAAGGAGGAGTTTCGTTGATTTCAAGCGTCGAAAAAGTAAGTAGACAAAGAAAAAAAAAATTACTTTAGTTATGAAACAAACTTATTTTTAGTTTGCTAATGCTACACTAACAATATTACCATTTCGACGTCTTTGCTTAACTCGTACTGTTTATGCATCAAAAAATGAGAAGTCATCAAGGTCATCTAAGGTAATACAAGAAAAAGAAAAATTGTTTTTTTCTTATTGCAATATGCTTTAGGTTCCTCTTTCTCGGTTTGAACCAAATGATTATGTTAATTATGAAAAGAATGCATCTGTTTTGGATATTGTCAAAAAACGGTAAATTCATTTCTATCCATAGTCAATTCTCCCTCGAAAAATAGAATCCTTAGAGAGTCCCTTTAAAATCTCCTCGAAGTATTGCAACAGAGAGGTTCCATAAATATGCGCTAGAGGTTTCTCGAGAATTCGTCGTCAGAATAACGATCAGAAAAAATGGTCATACTCTAATATCGTTCATCATCGTAGTTGCGTGTGCCTCTCGTCAATGACAGAAGCGATAATTTTCTTCTTCCTCCTTCTTCATTAATAGGAAAATCTAATTTTACATTTTTAAATAATACATACTTGAATTTGCTTGCTAGGCTCAAGATACATAAGCTATACACTCTTTCATAAATCATTAGGACGTATTTGAAGGCTAGACTTGTGAGAGTTCAGTGTTCTATGAAAATGGTTCTTTTTCAGGAACTATGTCAAGTTGCCAGCTCCCCAGGTAAAAAAAAAATATATATAAAAAATCATTTTTAATAATCAAAAAGTCGATTAAAACTCGATTATAATCATACACCTTTAATCAATAGTTTAAGCAGTAATAATCACAACAAAATCAGATTATAAT